TGATTAAATGCAGTTATGTACATGGGAGACTACTAGTGCAAATGTTAACATATTTAAATGGCTTCCCTTCATTAAAAAGATTATATATGATATTAAACCATCAATCAAATCGAAACACTAGAGTCTAAACGTATTGTCACTGGTTAAAATAAATGACTTTGAGACTGAATTTTGGCTCACTCAATATGGTGCCTTTTCTGTTGCTTAGCCACCCAAGTCTCTGCTGGCTTGGGCTACAGCTGGTATCTCTCCATCCCTTTCAATTAATAAAGAAAGTTATGGTAGTATTGCATAACATTTTTAAATTGGGCTAAGAGGCTGAAACAGATGTCCCAGGGAAAATCCCTCTCACTGCTGTATCAAACCTTTCAAGCCCTGAGCCGACAAAAGCTGAGCACTCTCATCCTGACTTAGCTGAACCTTTAAACACATTTGATTTTAAGCAAAGGAACAATCATACCTGTGGGTTTGATCTGTTCTTAAAATGAAGCATATGCTCACATATATGAGTCAAGGTGCTTAGGTACTCAATATCTTGCACAAGTATCCTCTGTCAATGCAATTCAGATTTCTTTGTGATGCAAGTGCTACTGCCTGGGCCATGAAACACATTATAAACACAGCTCTGCTGCAGGTTTTTATTTCTATCACTGTGCATAACTCCACACTAGCTGTATATGGCACTGAGGTTTATCTCAAAACCAAAAATATCACTTATTTTGCTATGTAAAAGGGGAAAAATGAAAAGTGCAATTTATAATACTTTTGTATTAGTAATGCCACTTGATTTTTCATTGCAACAGGCACCTTTACTTTCTGTTTTACACTTGCCAGGCAGTGGTGCTGTACTGCTTCACTTGGTGCCTCCTGTCACTGGGTGCAGTCCTTGGTCACCAGTGCTCTGCTCCACTGGGCAGCACAGGCAAGTTTCCCCCAGCGCTGCCACACCACACACCCTCCTCTTACCCAGCACTTCCCACCCCATCCTGGCTCCCTTTTCCACCACTACATATGCCCTCAACGTTCTTTGTTCACCCACACACACCTTCCCACCTACCTACTGCAACACTCCTTTCCCAGAGATCCCTCTCCAGCCCCTGTATTCCACCAGATTCTCCTACGGCACTGAACACTGGCTTTTCCCACATGCCTGCTGACAGTCCCCTCCTACAGCACTCCCCAGCCACTGCCCCCTGAAATGCTGAACCCTTGAAGGATTCAGCACAGGCACAACCTCGTCCTACAGACACCCAGGCCTATAACACTGTCCCCTGCTGTGGGCCCACCTGGGCTGAGACATGGAGCAGACCTGCCAGCAGCTGGCTGGACCACGGGCCAGGAAGTGTGTGCAGATCGAATCCAAACACTGCTGTTATGCTCAAACTCACCCAAAACCCACCTCATTCTTTCTGAAAATGATGCAGAGTAATCATGGGGCACTGGCCTCCCTCATTTGACCCCAAACTTAACCCCTGGCCAAGAAATGTCCCAGAAAGGAAGTGAAAACTGGAATGCCACTAAAATCCCATTTCTATTCAACCAACCAACCATTTATCCCCTCCACATCCAGCATAGAACCATTTCAAAAATGGCTGTGCAAGCAAGAGTTCTTTACCTATCGTGCCTAAATCTTAAAAACATTTGTTAGAATTACGGGTGAAAGATGCTACAAAACTGATTGATTTTTGGAAAGAACTAACAGGATTAGTACTTTACTATACCAAAATTGAGCTAACAGCCTAATGTGCACAATTCAGCAAGATCAGCATTAACAGAAGATAAAGGCAGTATCTTAAGACCAAAAATTACAATTTCATTTATAAAGTGAAGCAGCAGAGGCTTCACTTTTCAATCCCAGAATAACAGCAAAGTAGGAGTCTTTTAAATTTATTTATCAAAGTGCTCAGAACAGAACATAACATAGGAGAAATAGCTGAATATAATGACGTTAATACTCCTTTCTACTCATAGATGTCAAATTACTTCACATGTTAATTCCGTGTAGCTGTAAGACCCCCTCACGAAGTGGCTGCAGGTGGAGCTCAGGCTGCGCTGCTCGCCCGGGGGTACGAGCTCGGGACACAGCAAAACCCGGGCCAAAGCCAACAGCCACTGCTGAGCTTCAGAAGGATGCTCAGACTTGCTCCTGAACATTAAGGAGCTGTTTCGCTTCCATGTTCTCTATTGCTTCTCTCTTTCTACAGTCACGGGGTAATCACACAGCTCTGCTGCTCGAGGCTCCGGCAGGTCACGGGCACGGACACGCCGCGCTGATCGCTCCGATCGCCGCTGTGGGCAGCG